GCTCCACTTCCATATGCCTTTCCACCAATTCTCCTGGTTCCAAGGGTAATTCACAAGATATGCACAAATCATACAACAGTAATTCTCATATCCCCATTCTGGCCCAGACAGCTTCAGTTTCCTCACCTCTAGCCACGAATCAATTCCTCTCCCTATCATTCCCAGCCTTCTGTCCCAATATAAGGGACGACTCTGCCACCCAATCCCAGAATGCTCAGGCTCACCGCATGGTTCCAACATAAAGTATTTACCTGTTCTGAGAGGGCGAAGCAGGTCCTGTTGAATAGCCATCGTCCTACTACGCGATACACTTACCAGAACAAGTGATTCCAGGAATGGTGCCTACAGCATCAATTACAACCTATCACCACCGCTATACTTACCATCCTCAAATATCTCATGGACCTTAGTGAGGCAGGGCTTTCCATCAGCTCCATAAAAGTTCACCTAGCAGCCGTCGCAGTCTTTTATGACCTAGTGGATGACGCTTCCATGTGTGCTCACCCTATTATGAAATGTTTTCCTTCTGGCCTATGCCGATATACGACTGCTAGTACCACCATGGAGCCTTAATGCTTGTTTTTAGTCACAATTATGTCAGCAAGACGAGTAGGAGAGACTGGAGCCCTGAGGATGGATCCACTTTACATGGTCTTCTCCAAGGACAAGATTACTTTAAGTCCATATTCAAAATTTCTACCAAAAGTAGTTTCCTAGTGAATGAATGGAGGGGTGTGTGCTTTCTTGCTTGCCTGCCTGTGTATATGAGAGAGAGAGAGAGAGAGAGTGTTCTATCTTCTTTAGCTTAAACTTTTGGTGGCTGCTTTCTCCTCTTTAGTTTTACCTAGTGGCAATAAACCTGTACTAGTATAACCCTGGGTGGTCTCCAGTGAGAATATTTTTGGGGTAACACAATGGAGCACCATGGAAGCATAGCCAGTGAGTCAGATTCTGATCTTATTCACACAAGCATATTTTTAGACCACTACCAATGACTTCTGGATTTGCAACAGAATCACTTAGATCAGAGCCCAGGGTGCTCAGTCTCTAATGTAAACCCACCATGTAATATTTATCAACCTATTTTTATTCTTTTCTTTAGAAGATGCTATATTACTAGATGTTTGCAAGAGAAAAGGATGCATTCCTATTGTTTGCATAATCACAGCAAAGAGAACAGGACAAACTTACCTACACTATCCCTCCGGGGTGCCGACCACCTCCATGGTCCCCAAGAGAGCCAGGGCAACCAGCCTGGAGCACCGCCTGAAGTGTGATGCCTCCCCCCGCCAGCCCTCAGAGCCACCTGGAGTACCCAGTGCTCCAGCAGCAATTTCAAGGGCCCAGGCTCTTCTACCATCACATTAACAACACTTGTAACTGGGAGCCGTGGGCCCCTTTGAATCACCAGGCCCTGGGGCAATTGCCCTCCACCACTACCCCCAGGTTGGCAGGCCTGCTATCCCCTATATACCTTAACCTTGGCTGGAAGAATCATGTTTATTTTATATGAGAAACTGGTTCAGTTTCCAAGTCCATTCAATCTATAGGGTCAATAGTCAGGCTTGTTACACGAATATCTGATCAAGATGAACTGACGTACCGAAGAAATCACTCTGCTCCTGATAAAAAGGAATTCATCTTCAGATTCAAAGTTACACAGAAAACATTTCTTGTTTCAAAAAATACCTAGTTCACACAATTATTCAGTCACAGAATGATTTTAGAGACTGTCTCAGTGTAATAGTCATGTTTATGTAGGAAGTGCTGAATTTCAAATTCTTACTGCCCTGTGTCGATACTGAGGAACAGAGGCAGCCTTATATTAAACCCATGACATCACATCAACAGTCAGAGGTATGCGAGCTAAACGGATTATTTTTTTAAAAGAAGAGTTTATGTTCTCTTCTGTGAAAGTGCAGGGTAAAACCATATGGCAGAAACAGTATTTCTTTACATAATCAGTGAACTGTATCAGAAGTTACTATTCCATGACTGTGTAAGTGCCTGGACCTTCTCTCACTGAATTGAATGACAACTTCCACTGACCTCAATGGGAGCAGATACAGGCTCTAAAGCAGGCAATTTGTTTCATTTGTATTACTTTATAATTAGAGCCATGCAAATCAACAGATATCTGCTTTACAACTACAGGTATGCACATCCGCAGACATGGATGTGGCTATCTGAGGCTCATTTTTGCGGATACGAATGCAGATACTGAATGTACAAATATGGTATTTTGTTGTAGTGAACTTTTATTAGAAATTAAAATGGAGACGTGGACAGGCTGAAATGTAAAAAAAAGTATTTATTTCCATTTCATAGTAAGGAAATATGAAAAAGACTGTATATTTAACAAGCTGTACTTATTGCTGACAATATTATCATCCATGAATATTTCATGACAATGGTGCTTATGAAGGCAGTAAAAAGAAATACAATAAAAAGGACCCAAGTGCATGAGATTTCCATGAAAATGCAGTTTTGTTTCAAGACAGCATAGGGTATCTCTAGCACTTAAAGACCTTGTGCTAGATTTCTAAACCAACATTACCAAATACATGCTATAAAAAGTGTGTGGGAGGGGGTTGGCTTTGTTAAAAAATTTTCATTTTACTAAATAATTTTCATTTTACTAAAAATACCAAGACACAGTCATTCTTTTACAATATATTTTCTAATATCAGTGACCGCTTTAAATAACGAAATTATGGAGCATCCTGACTACGACCCACTAAATTGGAAACTACACACCACAGTAATGAGGTCTGTTCTGGAGAAGATAGCGCTCCAATTAAGGATAAAAAGTATGCACAAATATTCAAATGTGCAATTTTACTTGCTTTGTTACATATAATCAATGAAGAAGGCTGGGAATCATTATTTAAATAAGTTGATTTTTCTAACACGAATATCAGCCACTCTAGTTTGTGGCTAGTATGCCCACTGTATACAAAGCACAGATAGCTAACAAGAAAAAGTCTTTATACTTACTGTGAAATCATGAAGGGGATTGAGAAAATGGGCCTTCACAATACAATTTTTTCCTGTATTTAGGGCCTTCCAGAAAGCATTGTGCTTAATGAGTACAAACAATGTATCTGTAAGTGACCATATACATATGCACTTTATATACAGTATATTAAAACACACATGAAATTGCATTATAGCTAACATTTCTAGTTCTGTGCACTTGAAAAGCCAACATTTGGCATGCCCATTTTCATGCTTCTCCATGGCATGAAATGGACAAGAAAGGAAAGCAACAAAGCAGCAGATGATGGGAAGTAGCCTGTGCAAACAAAAGATACAGTGCATTCATGAAAATCAGAGGGTATACATATGTATTTACTGTGCATCAATTAATTTAACTTTCTTCTCTTTTATTATTAAAATACATAAAGATATAACAACATATCCAGGTTAAAACTACACAGAGAGTTAGAAGAGTCAAGATTTCATAAGGCAGAGATCACTACTGACCCTGTTAAGTTCCTGTAAATAATCTATACAAGAAATTTTCAACACTAACTCAAATCAGTGCTCAGCGATGCGAATAGTTCCACACCACAGGATAGCAATGAATTATGTTTCATATGGTAACACTTGTTAAGGACTGAAAAGACCAAAACAGACAAAGCTTCCCTATTTGAGCATTTCATTGCTCAAACTTTTTTTTTTAAATACAATTTTTCAGAATGCCAACAGACAAAAAAAACAAACAAACCCACATCTGATTTTATTAATATTAGCATATTGCTACTGTGTGTGAACAATGACATTTTTCTTTGTTTTTGTACTTGCAAACTAACTGAAAGACAGCTCTCTATAGTATAAAGCAAATATTAAGTTATGAATGAGCTGCCATAGGTGTACTAGTGTGGGAACAGAGCGCACAAACTTTTGTCCTGAGTAAACTCCAGGTAGGACAGCTATTTTATCGTTAGCTGTGCTGAGGAGCCAGAGAGGCAGCTAATGCTGCCAGCAAGCTCCAGTTGTCCAACAGGTTTCAGGAAGGTGGCGGCATGGGCGTGGTGTTCTCCTGACCTGTTGCTCTAGAACTATGCTGATTGCATCTCTGTCATGATGAATCAAATGAGGGTGCCTATTGTGCTTTCCTTCTCTCTAACAGAGCTCGCTTTCTTACAAGCTATAACCAAGCTCCAAATGGGCCAGTGTTTCCATCACAAGAAACATTCTGATTTTTAAAAGTTTATGAAAAATATTTGCATGACAGAGTTCTTATTGCCTACTGAATACAAAATATTCTTTAAAAAGGAAATAGGTAAGTCAACAACATAGAAACGTTTTGGATTCCAACTCATGGCCCTTCCCTTGAAAATGTTTTAGTTTTGTTTAAATATAATTTCTCCCCTCCCCCCCGTGCACAGACACACACTTCCTGCAGCAAAATATATATGAAAGTACAATAACACCACAAAAGGAAGAACTTTAAAGAGTTAAGGCTGCAATATTACAATGACCATATTGGACACTGGAAGTCTCAAGATAGTGTGAAATGTTACAAATAAATTTTATTTTATACATATCTTAGGCAGAATAGGATGATTTGAGGCAGGGGCAATCAAATTTTGCAACATGAAAGGTGGTAGCGGCAACTGGTCAGGATTAGTAGGGCTGTACCTAATTTATATATAGTTTGCAAAACCATGTTGAAACTACTAACTCAGGCTCAACTAGGCACAGTCACTGTAATGACATATTAAAATTACCATTCTACTCACCGATCCAAAAAGATTACTCCTCACAGGCAAAGAGAAGAATTTTGCCAGGATTATCTACAGACTTTAAAAATCAAAACCACACACACTAATATAGTATCTGCCCCCACTTTTTTTTCAATAGATGAAGAGAAATAGTTTGTTAACTGAGTCTAATAGCAGACAAAAAAGCAAGGCATTCATAAAGCCTTTGTACAGAAATATCAGAAGTCAGTTGCGACCAGTCACAATCGTCAGCCCACCAGTTTTCTTTCGTATTTTAGGAACAGCAAAATGGAGGGCAGCCACTGATCACATTCTGGCTCTTGGTCACTTGTTTTAAGCCTAGATTTTCAGATATACGTTGCAAAATCCTTGGCACGCTTTGCTGTTAAATTGTGCAGCCAATCATAAATAGTTCTGAACCAAAGTAGAAACTTTATAAATGAACAGATCTGCAAATGTTTTGGCATCTTTGAAGAGCACTTTACATATTTTCAATAGACAACTGTGCAATTTCACCATCTCTCAAATCTATTAAGTCTCTGTCTTCTCATTTCCTCTTCTGATAGCTGTTCAGATGGAAACCAAAAACCATATGGGCGCCTCTCACTGCTATGAGTTCCTGCACTAAAACCTGTAAGACAAAATCAAAAAGCAAATGTAGATCATTTTTATCCTCTGCTGAGTGCATAATCATGCACATCCTATGATACAGTTATAAATGTAATAGTAAGGCTGTGAACATTAAATATTTTTTGTTTACTATTGTAATAAAAATAATGTTACTGGTTTTAGCATATACCAAGAAGGTTTTAATTCAGACAATCAAATAATTTGCAATGTATATCTGAAATAATTTGATATAACTCATCCTTTGATTAATACACTGACTAGTAAAGGATAGAACCTGAATCATAAACTGCAGTGGAAAAAATAACCATGTCATGTTTATTTAAAAAAAAAAAAAAAAAAAGGAACTATGTAGAATTAAAAAAATTACAGAAACAGCAGTTATCATAACTGAGACCATACTGGTTCTCGAAAAAATCAGCTTAGATGGGGCTCGAGTAATTCTTATAGCCCCAGCGTGGGCTCGTCAGCCTTGGTTCTCAATACTCCATCAGATGTCAGTAAAGACTCCGTACTCCCTACCGCTACTCCCGAATCTCTTGACCCAGAGCAAAGGATCTCTACGTCACCCAAAACCCGAGACCCTGCACCTCACTGCATGGATGCTTGTTGGTTTAACAGTTTCGAATAACTCTGTTCTCAGCGAGTCAAGAAGGTGCTGATGCATAGCAGGAAAGAGTCTACGCGAGCTACTTATATAGCGAAGTGGTCCAGATTCCATGCATGGTGTGCAGCTAATAGCCTTGATCCCTGTTCCACAACTTTACCGCGTATATTGGAGTACATCTTGCAACTCCATGATGAAGGATTGGCAATAGCTTCTCTACTGGTGCATTTGGCAACTATTAATGCTTTTCATCACATAGACAATTCTTCCTCCATATTCGCGCACCCTACTACAAAAAGATTCCTAAAGGGACTCTCAAACCTTAATCCGCCCCGAAGATCCCCTCCCACCCTCGTGGAATTTGGATCTAGTATTGCAAACTCTATCTCAGCCTCCCTTTGAGCCTCTAGCCACTATCCCGCTACGCATACTTACCACCAAGCTTCTGTTTCTCCTAGCCCTTACTTCAGCTCGTAGGGTTAGTGAGATAGCAGCGTTTATGGCTTCCCCTCCTTATACAATATTCTCTAAGGACTCAGTTACGTTGAGAGCTCACCCAGCGTTTATTCCGAAGGTGTCATCTGAATTTCATATTAACGAACCAGTGGTTCTACCATGCTTCTTCCCTAAACCTCATGCCTCACCGCAAGAAGCAATATGGCATATGCTGGATGTGAGAAGAGCCTTGGCTTTCTATATTGATAGGACACGGGACTTTAGGAAGACGGACCGTTTAATAGTGTCATTGGCAGACCGTTCTAGAGGCCAACCGCTGACCTCTCAGTGTATCTCGAGACTTATTGTTTCATGCATATCTATGTGCCATTCTTTACGGGGGAAATCCCTGCCGTATCCTCCAAAAGCTCACTCCACCAGGGCGGTCTCCACTACTACAGCCTTCCTGAAGGGAGTCCCGTTCCGGGACATTTGTAGGATAGCAACGTGGTCTTCTAATGTCACTTTTATGAAACATTATGCTATAGTTGACCATTTTGCTTCGGATTCTTCGGTGGCTACAGCAGTACTTAGCTGTACTTAATCATTTAAAAAAAACCTTTTTTTTGAGTTCGGAGCGCTCCGGACTCTTTGGTTACTGCTCCGGAGTCACCTAGAGTGGAGCACCCACGGGGCCACTCGAAAAAGAAAAAGAAGTTACTCACCCTATGAAGTAACGATTGTTCTTCGAGATGTGCCCCGTGGGTGCTCCACGACCCGCCCTTCCTCCCCGCTCCGAATCTCTTTATCTCTTTCAGTTGAGCGGATGAGAGGAACTGGCGGTTGCCAGCCTGCGTGCGGCTGATCAAAGGCGCGAACGGCGCTTTGAAGGAGCGCGCATGCGCGGGCTGGTGGGACACAGCTATGAAAATTATCCGAGCCGCGGCGCCGGGACGGGACCCGACACCTAGAGTGGAGCACCCACGGGGCCACTCGAAGAACTCATTGTGATTTGTCAAACTTTAATCTGTGTAACTCTCAGAAATTTATTGTAAACTGCAACTTTGTAATCTTTGTAACTCTCAGCCACCTTGCTTGTAACTTTCTCTAAGCTGCATTCTCCCTTGAGTGAACTCCTCCCTGGTGCCGTTGTGTGTCCCACTGAGTCTTGTCACTGCACTCGGCGACCTGGCTACTCTAGAAACCCGACTATTTAGAGAAAGAACCGATCGAGTTCGTCATTCCCCTGTGCACGCTCTGCTTAGCTCAAGAGCACAGAGCAGAAACGAGAACGCTGGGGCTAGAGGCAAGACTGAGAAACCTTTACTACTGATTTAGTTGGGGGCCACTTAGGACAGAAAAAGCTTTACTAAGTCAGCCCCTGAAGTCGCAGTAGATGGTTCATGCTGACAATACACACACATCCGTTCTGAAACAAAATACAGAAACATGGAGCACTTTAAAGACTAACAAGATGGTTTATTAGATGATGAGCTTTCGTGGGCAAGACCCACTTCCTCAGATCAAATAGTGGAAGAAAATAGTCACAACCATATATACCAAAGGATACAATTAAAAAAAATGAACACATATGAAAAGGACAAATCACATTTCAGAACAGAAGGGAGATGGGGGGGGAGGGGGAGAGAAGGTAAATGCCTGTGAGCTAATGATATTAGAGGTGATAATTGGGGAAGCTATCTTTGTAATGGGTAAGATAACTAGAGTCTTTGTTAAGACCCCGGCGTAATGTGTCAGATTTTAGCATGAATAACAGTTCAGAGGATTCCCTTTCAAGTGCAGTTTTAAAAGGCTTTTGAAGCAGGATGCAGGTAATTAAGTCGCTGAGACAATGTCCTTTCTGGCTGAAGTGGCAAGAAACTGTTTTTTCTTTGTGCTCCTGTCTAATATCTGTTTTGTGGGCACTGATCCTTTGGCGAAGTGTCTGAGATGTTTGTCCAATGTACATAGCAGACGGACACTTTCGGCACATGATAGCATAGATTATATTTCTGGATGCGCAGGAATATGTGTTCTTGATCTTATAACTCACTTGGTTAGGCCCAATAATGGTATCAGCAGAGTGAATATGTGGACAAAGCTGGCAACGGGGTTTGTTGCAAGGGAAGGTACCAGGGTTGGTATTAGTGTGGTATGTCCTGTGGTTGTTGGTAAGAATCATCTTGAGGTTAGGTGGTTGTCTACAGGAGACTATGGGTCTGTCTCCCAGAGCCTCTTGGAGTTTAGCATCCTGTTCTATCTTCTTTAAACCTCTGGTGGCTGCTTTCTCCTCTTTAGTTTTACCTAGTGGAAATAAACCCATACTAGTGTAACCCTGGGTGGTCTCCAGTGAGAATATTTTTGGCGTAACAGGTCACAAACAAAACCCTCTGCACCCCTTTCCCAGAGCAAAACCCACCCCCCTGTTTCCCCTCTATCCCAGGACACAACTAACACACTCTCCTCCCTCACAGACCCTGCACCACCTCCTCCTCCTGCAACCCAATACCCTACCCTGAGCTTGTTTCTGTATCCAACCTTTGTCCAGACCTTACACTCCCTCCATCAATATTATAGAAAAGTGCAGCTTTTGACCACTTACCACATTCTTGCAGTGGCCCCCATCAAAAACTACTGCACACCCTTGAACTAGGTAGACTTCCAAAATTTGCACTCACAAAGCAGATGAGAAAAAAACCCCTTACTAGTTGTTGAGCAATCCCACTGCATTACTGTTCATTAAAGATGTGTATTTTTAATATGGCAATTACTCTTTGGAAAGCCCAGAACGTCACATTTTTCAGCATCCTTGTTTTATACAGTAACATTTAAACTGTTAAACTATATAAAAGTCCTCAACAATTACTTTTGGCAAAGCAAGTATTTTAAACTTTCAGTTAATACTACAGTCCAAAATGTGGTGACCCATACCAGATGCACATGTAACTCCATCTTTAGTTGGCAGCAAGCAAATTCAGAAATAAATGACACGTGGCAGTTCAGCTACAGAGACTCAGAGTGAGTAAATTAATCTGAGCAGAGACAGAACAGGCTAAAGGTAGCTATCTCCATAGAGAGAAAGAATCTCCCCCTCACCACCAACTAAAGAACTCAGAGCATAAACATTCCAAGTCACATAATAAGGATAGCAAGACAAAATCTGATAGGCTGCGCCTATGACATCAACTGCCTCTATGCTAAGAATCTTTGCGGGGTCGGGGGGAGAGGAGAGATTGGCTTCTGAATCTAGATTCATACATTATTAAGAATAAGAACATTAGCTCTAAAGGTTATAGAATAGTTGAGTCAAATTGTATATATATTTATATTAGTATTTATTAACTTTTCATCTCATTATCATGTTTTAATAGCAATAGTGAATATGAAAAACCAAAAAACAATTAGTGTAATATACATATAGTGGGGCTCATTTTCAGATGTGTGCTTGTGGGAAGGGTACTTAGAAACCTTAAATACCGGGGGCTCGTTTGCATAGTACTCTGACGGTCTGTTTACTGTGCAGTAAGGCATACCTAGTGACCTCGGACTCAGTTATGTTCTAATTTATAGTAACAACAGGACCTTAATAATGGACAAGCTTACAATTCCATGCAAAGACTGGAAAATACAAAAGGATTTTTTTCCTTCTAAATATCTCAAACTCTTAGGAAATGCTGCCAAGCCTAACTAGCTGTTCAGGCACCAGTGGTTAACTATAATAACATGGGATATGCGCAAAAAAGCAGAAATAGTTGAAGAATGTTTTAATTCACATTAACATGCAGCAAATAAATTATAATGTGCATTGTTACAGTTTAACCCCAACATGCGCTTGCACCTCACTGATATTTCAGATGCAGAAACACAATATTTTCAGACAGAAGCAAAACTAAGTCATATTTAAGAAACATTGAACACAAACACTGCGACTTGTCAATTACTCTTTACTTCTCCTGTTAGCA